GACAAATCCCCGACAGAAAACTGCTGCTGCGTTCTATTCATGACGTATTGACACAAATTTCAAATGATTTTCAGCGGTTGCTTTATCGCGTCCAGTGTAGGCAGACTTTAGCTGTCGCGTCCGATGTAGACACGGTGTTAAGACACTTATTCACCTATCGAGAAGAAACAAAGCAACCTCGGCGTCTAATCGCAGGCCTTCCGCTCCTTGAGTTCTCTCCAGCGCTGGAAAGCTGATCTGATATTTACGCGGGTCCTACTTCTTGCCTTCTTTAGTTCCGCAGACGGTTTCCTCTTTTGTTTTTAATCCGCCATCTCTATCTTTCTGTCGCTCGGCTCACTAATGTCCGTCCTGTGCACTGAACGCTCTCTCCTCCACATCATGAGTAGACACGCCCCTTACTGCTGATTGGCTACAAGTTTGTTTTGCTACTCGGCCCAAATCAGTTTTCTAAAGGGTTTTTGAAAAAATGCATACCCCACCTTTAAATTATTTGTGAAAGAATGCATTAACTTATTTTTTTCTCTTTTTACAAATAGCATTTAATTCTCATGAGAAATCAGTACGAAAATGTCATTAATATCACAAATTGGGGGAAATTGATCTTGTCAAAATGCAAAAATATAAATGGTCCTAGTTATGAGATTTTCAAAATCAAAACAAAATATAATTTTTTTAAATTATTATTGTTAAAATAATGCATTAATTATTTATTCTTCACAAATAAGAACATTTAATTCTCATGACAATTCAGTGAGAAAATGTCAATATTACAAATTGGGGGAAAACTGAACATTTTAATTGTCAAAATGCAAAAAACATAAATAGTCTGAAATGAGATTTTCTTTAAACAAAATAGATTTTGTTTTGTCTGTCTTCTGACTTTGGGATGAAATAAGACCCGGACATGTTCTTGACTGGTTCACCCAGATACTGCTGGCTTTACCCAACCTTTTGTGCATGTAGATTTAAGCTTTACAGAAAGAGAAAAAGCACATGAACTTGAAACCAGGACTCACGAGTCAAGCCTTCAGGCTGTTAGCAGCAAAGCGTCATTAGATCGGATACAGCATTTGAGAGGTCCAGCGAGAGTCATGTGACCAAACACAATCACTAACACGTGATTTACACTCACAACCATCGCACGAGGATTAAGGGGGCTGATTTCACACTAAACCACACTTTAAGGCTTTATTATTACTCTCTAACATCACAACACATGTTCGTTATCAACCACCAACTGAACATATTGTAGGCATGTTTCTTAAGTATTAAAAACCAAATTGCAATAACTCATGATGCAGGGAACCAATGCCAATACCATTCAGTAATTTATTTACATTTTCAAGAGAAAAAAGCATTAGAATTGTACACAAACATTTAATTTGGTCAGTCACTTACACACAATATTGAGGATCTGAACGTTATGAACATCAATAACTAACACATTATTTACTGTTTTCACATTTAAAAAAAATTCACGCTACATGTTCACTTTACAAGGCGCTTCAAAACTGCCAAAGCCGAATATTGAGTCTAAATACAGAGATTGCAGCATTTTCACTCGCACGTCCTCCGTTGATAAGGCTAATTCAACAGTTTGATAACAACACTCCTGCGTCTACAGTAAGGCACAGCGGGGACGTTTGACTCGAGCCCCTCCATGCTTTTATCCGGATCCGTTTTGAGCTTGTGCCAGACCCTGAGGAACCGTCAAGAAGAAAACAAAGTTCTCACACAACATGAAAACCGATGGCAGAGTAAGTGTGGTGCATCATGGGAAATCAGCCCCCTCTGAGCCCGTTATTGTATACCGTCGGATCGGCCCTCTCGTGCATTCGCTATGACTGCTGCTTGATAAAAGCACCAGCCCACACCAGGACAGAGAGAAAGAGAGGGGAAAAATAGAAAACCAGAGGAGAGGTGGCCGAAGAGTCCAGTCCAATCAGAGACTTCCTCGCGATCACATGATCTCGCAGCACGAGTTCTGCTTGCGTGCCTAGAACATAAAAACATCAACATTACATCAGATCTCCTGAAGAAGATGTGAGCAGTTGCCTATTCACACTGGCAACTTTCTCAGTATTTGGGGTGTCTTGCCTTAAGGTAGCTGATAGGTTTAAAGGGGTCATGAATTGAGAAATCAACTTTTACTTGAGCATTTTTTAATATGTAAGAGGTCATCGTGCTAAAAGAATATCTTGTAAGTTTCAGAACTGAAAACATCCTTGTTACTGAAATAAAAGCTTTTAATGACACCAGGCCCAGCGAATGCCAGATTCTGGATTCAATGATGTAATAGATCGGTTAAACTCCGCCTCCACAGAAGAATATCAACACATAACTATGTAGCCCCGCCCACCCCGGATCGAGCAACCAAGCAATAAACATGCCGTTAAAGATCGCAGAATATTGTGCAGTGCCTGGAAGAACACAGTCGCTGCATAAACTTCCTTTGGATTCAAATATTAGGAATGCGTGGATGAACTTAATTTTTAATGAAGTTGCAGCTCACGCGAGTAAAACATTGAGCGTTTGTTCGCTTCTTTTCACCGCGGACTCCTTTGTAAACGAGACACAGTCGACTCTGGATTTGCAGAGAGACCGAGATTAAAAAGCAAGGCTGTGCGTCTATATTGGATCCGACAGGAATGGCGCAGCACACTTATGCGAGTAAAAAATATTTGTACTGTATGTCACTATTGCTTTGTTAGAGATTGCTTGATATGTCCTGATTATGTGTATGTGTCTAACCGAAGTCACAGAAGGCTCCAACTATGAAGGACGTAGCTTGTCAAACAGACACGCAGAAAGGTCGTTTACTATGCAGAACTGTTATCCAATCACAGCAGTGGGTGTTTACTTCTGAGTGTTCAATGCGGCACGCCCATAAAAAATAGCGTTTCTCCAAAACCATGGTAGAAAATAGCCTATTACTTATTGATTTTGATGTTTTTGAATGTAAAAACCACACAAACGTCATAAGTGGACCTCAGACAACAGTACAAAATAACAAAAAAAAGCCAGTTCATGACCCCTTTAATACTTCACTAGCTATAAATATGAGCAATAATAAGTGGTTTTAGAAACCACCACTAACGAAGCTTTAAAATGTACAAGAGTATTGACACAATAATAAATTGCATTTTCTGTTGCCATGTTTCATATGCATGTAGAGTACTGACCGTTTTATAAAAGGCTTTTGATTGGTTTCCCAGATGCTCAGATTTCTGAACTAAATCATCCAGCTTCTCTCCTCTCTCCAGCAGCGACTCCATTGTGTTGTGCTGGAGAAACACATATTAAATTACATACAAATGCCAATGCATTAAATACAAACAAACTCTAATATGTGTATAATGACAGCACACTTACACACCCTGCATACTGAATATCAATGTAGGTGGAACAGATGATTGTAACAATCAAAAACGGTGAATTTTAATACACACGGTTCACATAATTATTTGCTCACCAAAATAATTTTGGTTTCGTCCAGTTCTGCTTGCACTTTGGTCATAGCGTCAGCCTCCCGTGGATTCTGTAAAACAGGAAATACTGAAACTGTTACGGGTGATAGAATGCGTTGTGTTTACTAATCAAGTGCTCTTAAAACCCTTGTATAACAATGCTGACGTTCCACTACATGGCTTTTCTTGCAGTTTCACTATTAGTGAGCATAACGTACCTGGTATCTGGCCAGATGGCTGTCCAGTGCTGTGTACTGAATGGTCGCTGGAGAACCAGAAGGCCAGTCTATACTGTTGACCTGTCTGGAGAACTCATCCAGCACCTACAGACAACCACAAAACCATTAGAGAGAAAATGGTCATACCTAACCATTTAAAAAAAAAAAAAAAAAAAAAAAAAAATTTTAATTATATTTATTATTTAAATTGGCATTTAAATTGTATTCATTTAAATTTACAGTTACATTTCATTTAAATGTACACAATTCATTTAAAAAAAAATAATGTTTGTAAATTTGTATAACAGTCTTTATACTAATAACACCTAAGACAGTAAAGTTTGATGTTGGCTTGAGAAAAACAAGCCAGAAATTTTGAAGTAGTTTAATAAGATTGAAGTTTAATACTTTTAAGTATTTTTAAGATTGAAGTAGTTTTAAAAGCTTGAAGTTTGAAGGGTTTAAGTCTTTTTAAAGACTGAACTAGTTTAAAAACTTGAAATTTGAAAGATTTAAATATTTTTAATATATTGAAGTATTTTAAAAGGTTTGAAGGTTTTAAGTATTTTTAAGATTGAAGTAGTTTTAAAAGCCCTGGTTTTAAAGCCATGCAATCTCTCGGATGGACGGACGGACGGACGGACGGATGGATGGATGATAGATGGATGGATGGATGGATGGACGGATAGACGGATGGATGGATGGACGGACGGACGGATAGACGGATGGATGTATAATGTATGGATGGATGGATGGATGGATAGATGATAGATGGATGGATGATAGATGGATGGATGGATGATAGATGTATAGATGGATGACAGATGGATGGATGATAGATGGATGGATGGATGGATAGATGATAGATGGATGGATGATAGATGGATGATAGATGGATGGATGGATGATAGATATATAGATGGATAGATGGATGGATGAATGGATGATAGATATATAGATGGGATGATAGATGGATAGATGGATGGATGATAGATGGATGGATGGATGGATGGATAGATAGATAGATAGATAGATGGATGGTCAACATAACGCACCTTATCAAGTAAAGTGAAGCAGACTCTGGAGGGATATTCACTGTCCGCGATCACAACACCACCGAGATTGTCATTCCGCACGTACACGTGACACAAGTACTCTAACGGGGAAAAAACACAATGAATCCAATGCTTTTATGAGCAGCCACTACAAACTCTTGTGAAAAAGAAGTGTGTGTAATTGTAGTGAATGTGCACTTCAAATCTTAAAAGTTTATTTTACAAAAACTATACTTGCAGACAATATAAAATTGTTCAAATAAAAAGCCACGTAATTGTACGTAAAGAGAGTACACTTTCATGACTATGATCTTGTAGCGTAAAATTAAATGTTTTACTTTAAAGTATATTTTACGTCATGTTTAAGCTGTTTTAATAATCTTTTGTCATGCTATAAATAAGTACACTTATTTTAAGGTGTTGACTAACATACTAAAGCACACATACTTGATTATAATTTTTCCTGTTAAAATTGAAACGTCATCATTCAAATTGTGCAAAATTTCATTAAAAATTACAAATATATTAAAATACATGACATACAAGTTTTAATAGAAATGACATTAACGTAAATGCTTTTTAGTTCATTTAGCAGTCAGGGTTATTCAAGTTCAAACTAAAACTAAAATTAAAACCATTAAAAAACATTTTCGTTACTTAAAATTCACTAAAATGTAATTAAATATTAAAAACGTTTTATTTCAGCTAGATGCCAAGACAGCATTTAATTTAATGAAATGTACAAAAAAAATTAATAAATAAAATAATCAAATAAAATGTAATAAAATAAAATCATAAAAATTTCTAAAAACAATCAAATTAAAATTATAAAAAAAAACTTATTAAAAAATGTCATTAAAAAAAATTAAAATAACACTGTCACAGTACACTTCTAACCATATTTCAAAAACAAAGGAATTAATTGTGAAATTTCACATAAAAATGAACTTAAGTACTATTTTTAAAGGTTAAGTGCTGAATTACTTTTTCACAAGGTGATGCATTTCTGAATAACTCTAGTAAGCTGATTTTGTGGCTCTCAGTAGCTCGGTAGGGTTCACCGTGGGGGCGGGGGCACTCCCTCTTTTCCTTTGCTTTTAAATAGCTTGCAAAAGTGGCGTGCATTTTACTTTCACTTTCAAATAGCAGCAATTCGGCGTAAAGCAATGGTTCGTTTTTAGTTCGTTTGAATTTTCCCTCGCTTTTAAATAGCTTAAAAGCACCGTGCGCATTTTACTTTCACTTTCGAATTAGCGGCAATTCGGCGTCAATTGCTTGAATGCAACAACAAAATACAACGTCAAACTCACTTTAATCTATTTATAAAACATAGAACTTTTATTAACAAATTTTCAAACCGGTTAATCGACGTGTGACAACACGGATAATACCGGTATCACCGTGGGGGCGGGGGCAGGGACTCTTTTCCTTGCTTTCCTTCACTTTTATATAGCTTGTAAAAGCGCGTGTGCATTTTACTTTCACTTTCAAATAGCAGCAATTCGGCGTAAAGCAATGGTTCGTTTTTAGTTCGTTTGAATTTTCCCTCGCTTTTAAATAGCTTAAAAGCACCGTGCGCATTTTACTTTCACTTTCGAATTAGCGGCAATTCGGCGTCAATTGCTTGAATGCAACAACAAAATACAACGTCAAACTCACTTTAATCTATTTATAAAACATAGAACTTTTATTAACAAAACGAAGAA